AATTAAATTAAATTAAATTAAATTAAATTAAATTAAATTTTCCCCCTCAACACTGGCAATGTTAAGATGCATGGCCTTCAACTCCCAGAATTCCCCAGCCAGCCATGTTGAAGTAGAAGATCCACGCATCTTAAAAAGTTCAAATTCAACAAAGCGTGTTGGGTATGATTGAGAGGAGGGGTCCTTGGTGCTCTCTGAGCTTGGTAGTTTTCTTGCAGACGTTTCATTTCCCAAACTAGGTAACATCATCAGGGCTAGTTGGGGTAAGGAAATGGCTGCAAGAAAACAGCCAAGCTCAGAGAGTAACAAGGACCCCTCTCAGCTACAAATATTCTCCCTTAATGGTTGAGAAGATCTTGGCTTGATTCCAGGGTTCTTCACCCTACCAGGTGTGTCCTACTCATGGTGTCCACCAGTGGTGGAATTCAAATTCTTTTACTACTGGTTCTGTGGGCGTGGCTTGGTGGGCGTGGCAGGGGGAGGATACTGCAAAATCTCCATTCCCACCCCACTCCAGGGGAAGGATACTGCAAAATCCCCATTCCCTCCCCACTCCTGGGGGAAGGATATTGCAAAATCTCCATTCCCACCCCACTCTGGGGCCATACACTCTGCGTATTTGCTGGTTCTCCGAACTGCTCAAAATTTCCACTATCAGTTCTCCAGAACCTGTCAGAACCTGTTGAAGAGCAACCCTGTTGTCCACCTACTAGTTGGTGTCCATCTCGACAGATATATATTAGCAATGGCACTTAGACTTATATACCGCTTTACAGTGCTTTTACAGCCCTCTCTAAGTTTACAGAATCACTCTAAGTTTACTCTAAGTTTACTCTAAGTAAACTCTAAGTTTACAGAGTCAGCATATGGTGCCCCCCAACAATCTGGGTCCTCATTTTACCCACCTGGGAAGGATGGAAGGCTGAGTCAGCCTTGAGCCTGGTGAGATTTGAACTGCCAAATTGCCGGCAGCCAGCAGTCAACAGAAGTCCCCTGCAGTACTGCACTCCAACTATTGCACCCCCATGGCTCATACATTGCTGTGATTTAAATCTTTTTTTTTTTTTAATTTGATTTATATGCCGCCCTTCTCCGGAGACTCAGGGCGGCTTACAATGTGCTAAGCAATAGCCTTCATACTTTTGTATATTTATACAAAGTCAGCTTATTGCCCCCACAAACTGGGTCCTCAATTTACCTACCTTAGAAAGGATGGAAGGCTGAGTCAACCTTGAGCCTTGGAGAGGTTCGAACCAGCAGAAATTGCAGGCAGCTGTGTTAATAACAGGGTGCACTAAACCACTGTACTATCAAGGCTCTTTTGTCGTTACTCTTGTGCGTTACCCGCAGCCTCACCACGAGGGCAGCTTAGGGTCGAAGACATGAGCTGTTGGGATTTGTCGACGGCGCACTTACCTTTTCACGGAGTCGCTCCCTCAAGGCAGCTAGGTGAGCTTCGCGGATCTCCTTGCTGAGCTCCATCTTGTAGTTGAGTTTCTCCTCAGCCAGCCGGCTGAAGTTGTTGTTCTCTTCCAGAGCCTTGTGTAACACTTCCCGCTCGTGTTCGCGCTTCTCTGCAAGCTGCTTCAGGACCTGAGCTTCCTGGTTCTGCAAGAAAACCCATAAAAGCAGAGGTGATTCAGGAGCTCTTGAGTAGCCAACATTCTTGGAAGCTGTCCCAAGAAGCAGCACTATTGCCATGGATTTTTAAAAGCCATCACAACACCTGGCTCTCCTAGATCAACAGGACTGGTAGAACAGGGGTCTCCAAACTTGGCGACTTGAAGACCTGTGGACCTCAACTCCCAGGATTCCCCAGCCAGCCATTGAGCATTCTTATACATAGAGTATGTTTGTGTGCGCGCTTGTGCGTTGTTTTGCTTTTCCTCCTAATCAAGGAACCACTGAGAACATTCCCACCAACACTGACAAGGCAAGCTACTTGTATACTGTATGCACAAAAAGGCAAATCCCACTCCCTTCTAGCACTGATGATGTTACCTAATTTGGTGATAAAATGTTTGCAAGCAAACAATCAAGCTCAGAGAGCACCAAGGACCCCACAGTTGTCGTTCTCCTCCATCCTCCTCCTCCTCTCCTCCTCCTCCTCCTCCTCCTCCTCCTCTCCTCCAACCCCACTCCCTTCTAGCACTGATGATGTAACCTAGTTCGGTAATGAAATGTTTGCAAGAAAACTATCAAGCTCAAAGACTATCAAGGACACCACAATCCTCGTCCTCGTCCTCCTCCTCCTCCTCCTCCTCCTCCTCCAACCCCACTCCCTTGTAGCACTGATGATGTAACCTAGTTCGGTAATGAAATGTTTGCAAGCAAACAATCAAGCTCAAAGACTACCAAGGACACCACAGTTGATGTTCTCCTCCTCCTCCTCCTCCTCCTCCTCCTCCTCCTCCAACCCCACTCCCTTCTAGCACTGATGATGTAACCTAGTTTGCTAATGAAATGTCTGCAAGCAAAGAATCCAGCTCAGGGAGCACCAAGGATGCTGCAGTTCAGTCCTGAGCTACAAATGTTCTCTTCTGTCCAAATTGTTAGCCATTCTAATGATCAAACAGTAGAAACGTATATATAATTTTGATTGGAAATTCTTGGTCAGTTTTTCCGCCTGTGTACATACAGTATTTCGGAGAAGTTTCAGGCCTAGTGTCCCAAAGATTTCTCCAGGTATTCATCAGCCCATGATTTTTTTTTAGCTGCCACCAGGAAATGGTGAGAATTTGTCTGAAGATAAATTTGAGGACGTATCAGCCAGAAATTTTCGCCTAAGACTGAAAATCAGGCTTGTCAGATGTTCCATCTTTTCTATCCTGCTCTACGGAGTAGAGAGTTGGTCTCTGACAGAAAACCAGGTGAAGAAACTAGAAGCATTTGAAATGTGGATTTACAGATGGCTGTTAGGTATAAGCTGGGTTGACAAAATCACAAACGAGGAAGTGATAAACCACCTGGGAAAGCCAAGGGAAATCATCAAAGCCATTAAAAAGCAAAAGTTATAATATTTTGGGACGTGTGATGCGACACCCAGAAAAATACTCCATACTTCACTTAATCCTCCAAGAAAAGATTGAAGGCAAACGAGGTCCAGGCAGAAGAAGAATATCATGGCTTCAAAACCTAAGGGACTGGATTTGGACAAAACTCAGCAGCACTTTTTCATACGGCCTATTTTGACAAAAATAGGATTGCCAACATGATCGCCAACATCCGATGACGGATATGGCACAACAAGAAGAAGAAAATCAGCCAGAAATGCCTGAACTCTTATGGACTTCCCCTTACCTTCCTTCTCTCTTCGGCAGCTTCCAATCGCTTCTGCAGTTCCTCCAGGGACAGATCCCTCTTCTTGGGAGGAGAGGAGAGGATGGGGCTCTCCGGAGACAGGTCAGAGGGGGACTTCAAAATCACTTCGAAGCTTTGGCCAGAAGCCCTCTTGTCCAACTGCTTGACCTCCATATCTGAGCAAGTGAAAAGGATTATGGGTCAGATTTCCTGAGAGGTATTGTGGCATCACTTCTGGTTCTTATTAATCAATAGGGTCATTCTTTTTTCACCATCCTCATTTAGTTCTCTCCCATCCAGTCAAGAATCCATCACCAAAGTATTTAAATGTGCCTTTTTCTCCATAAACAATGAACCCAATTCAGTTAGTTGCATAGTTAACTTCGTTCGGTACTCAACGGGTACCGATGAAATCTACATTGATTTAAAAAAAAGCTACCAACTGTATAAATATCCTGTCAAATTGATGTTGAATTATGCATCCAGCGTTGCCTGTCATGGATCCAACAGACCGCTGACAAATTGCTCAAACCCAGTCAAAAAGTCTTTTGCTAAATCTACCAAGGTTTATCATAAACCTGGATCGGTGGCCAATAACCATTGTTCGGTGTTTCTCTCTTAACAGCTGATGTTTGGGGAAAGCAGCTTATCATTCAGGTGGAGCTGCCTTTGTGGGAATGGCTAGCATAGAAGCAAAGTAAAAGAAATAAATAAACAAACGTTGATCTAGCTAGTACCATGTTTCCCAGAAAATACGACCTACCCCGAAAGTAAGTCCTAGCTTGATTTTTACATGTGTGCCCAATATAAACCCTACCCACCCCTCAAAATAAGCCCTAATTAACACCCTGCCCACTCCGGGGTGCAGGGGATGGGGCGAGGAGCATGGTAAAAATTAAGCTAGGGTAGAGATGAGGGGTGGGTGGAGCTGCCCTACTTACCAGGCCTCTCACACCCCGACACCTGCCTTGCCTTCCCGGTGCACTTCTTCTGCAGCTGCTTGCCGCCACTTGTGCGTGTCGCCCCTGGCCTCTGTTTCGCTGTCAAAGGCCTTCAGGAAAGGCCACTGCAACCAAGAAACGAGGTCCTGATTGACGCGTGCATTTCCCACGGCCTCCGTTTCGCCTTCAGAAGTCCTTCCAGAAAGCCCTCTGCAGCCGATAACAGAGCTCCAGATCGATCCTGAAGGCCTCTGACAGCAAAACGGAGGCCGGGGGCGACACATGCAAGTGGCAGCAAGCAGCCGCAGAAAAGGTGGGCCGGCAGCAGGCTTCTGCTGGGCGGGGCTGTCGGTGCCGCCGCCATAAGGTGAGTCAGTGGAAGACACCCCCACCCCCAAAATTAAGACCTGGTGCCTTTTTTGTTGACAAAAAAATATAAGACCGAGTCTTATTATCGGGAAAACACAGTAGCAGTCACCCTACTTAAGCCTGACCTTCCATTTATTTATGTATATCAAATTTATATACCGCCCTTCTCCCTGAGGACTCGGGGCAGTGTACAGCCAAATAAAAACATAGACTACAAACATTAAAATACTATTAAAAAGATATATATAAATTTGGCCCCGTAATTAAAAAACAATGACTCTCTCCAAACCTTTTTTTTTTAAATGACCAAGATAACCTCTGATGGAAGTGAACTTGTGGGGTTTAGCCATGCTTTGTGTAAATCATTTTTATGGGCCCTGAACTACACAGAATTTCAATGGAGGACCCTCTCTGAGCTTGATAGGTTTCTTGCAGACCTTTCATTATCAAACTAGGTAACATCATCAGTGCACTGATGATATTGCCTAGATTGGTAATGAGACGTCTGCAAGGAAGCCCCCATGCTCAGAGAGCACCAAGGACCCCACAGTTCAACCCTGAGCTGCAAATTAGAACAGAACAGAAACGTTATTGTGGCTTTAAATGTACGCTGATCAGCATACAGTAAGATAAAATTTTGTTGCATTCAGCTCTCAAAAGATAACTATGATGCATATACACATATACACATAGAAAAACATCACAGTCTGGTTCGAATGTATATATATTCTTACTTCTTCGTAGGATTTATGTGTGTTTTACGTAGGAAAAACCTGGCTAGAGAAACGTTGCCAAGACACCTCCAATTTTACGCGGGAGAAAACCTGAATAACCAAAGACCTACATACAAACACCCGCGAAAATCTCAGAAAATATACATATATATATATATATAGGTCTTTGGTTATTCGGGTCTTCTCCCACGTAAAATTGGAAGTGTGTTGGAATCAGAACACACCTCCACCCAATCAGAACACAGCCAAGTTCCCACCCAATCAGCTCACACCCCCACTAGCAGTTAAAAGGAAGAGACAGCTGCGATCTCACATTGCTCCTGGAAGCACGAAGCCGAGAACACCAGCCTGAAGATGACGAATGAGATTTCGTCGAAACGTCGCCAAGACCAGGGCCGGATTTAGATGAAAAGAGGCCCTAGGCTATTCCACTTCTGAGGCCCTTTCACCTATAGTGCAAGTGTAATTTTAATTCTGCTAACAATTTGAATGTAGGCCCCTCTTGATCTTGAGGCCCCCTCTTGATCTTGAGGCCCTAGGCTGAAGCCTAGTTAGCCTATAGGAAAATCCGGCCCTGGCCAAGACACTTCCAATTTTACGTGGGAGAAGACCCGAATAACCAAAGACCTACATACAAACACCCGCGAAAACCTGAGAAAACATATATATATATATGTGTGTGTGTGTGTGTGTGTGTGTGTGTGTGTGTGTGGCGAAAAAAAGGAAGGAAGGAAAGGAAGGAAGGAAGGAAGGAAGGAAGGAAGGAAGGAAGGAAAGAAAGAAATTACTAGCACAACAAGAAGAGATAAATCCTTGATAGCACTGTCAGTTTTGGAAGCCATATTAGTACCAAAACCTTCCACGCTGCCATCTTCTTGCGCTTGGGAAAGTAGGAGGGGAATTTGATAAGAGGGTTTTGTTAGACATAATAGCATTCTTCTTTTTGGTCAAGGTCCTGACAATCCTGCATCTGGAGAAGGAATGGTTGGAGTGATGTCTCGAGATGGGACAGATGGTGATTGGACCATGTGATGGACTGATGGGTGCAGGGGATGGATTTGGGGGTTTTGATTAACTGAGGGAAAACCTGAAAGTCTCAGATTCGGATTTTCCCAGATGTGCCACTAAAGGTAAAGGTAAAGGTTCCCCTCGGACATATGTGCTAGTCGTTCCTGACTCTAGGGGGCGGTGCTCATCTCCGTTTCAAAGCCGAAGAGCCGGCGCTGTCGGAAGACGTCTCTCCATGGTCATGTGGCCGGCATGACTAAATGCCAAAGGCGCACGGAACACTGTTCCCTTCCCACCAAAGGTGGTCCCTATTTTTTCTACTTGCATTTTTTATGTGCTTTCGAACTGCTAGGTTGGCAGAAGCTGGAACAAGTCACGGGAGCTCACCCCATTATGTGGCACTAGGGATTCGAACCGCTGAACTGCCGGCCTTTCGATCGACAAGCTCAGCATCTTAGCCACTGAGCCACCGCGTCCCTTTTAGATGTGCCAGTATACCTACTCTAATAAATGGGACTTTTGAGAAAATGCCTGTCTCAGAGTTTTTAATTGGAGTTGGGGTTTTCTGGAACCCTGACAAGCATACTAAGAACATGTCTGTTTGCCCCCATGTAATTTAATTCCCTGGTTCCATGTTCTACAGTCTGGAAAGTGAACTTCCATAAGGCATCTGTTCTAGACTTTGAAGGGTGTTCTTTAGAAAAGGTTCCTTAGTCACCTTTTTCTCAAGGTTATTACCCGGCTCTTTCCTCATAGGGTTTAATTATCTTCATTACCTTTTTTTCTGAATCTGTTCTTTGAATTTCTCGTTAAATGCTCTGCCCAGAATCGGACTTGGGATGGAATCCAAAGAAAAATAGTGGAACGGTAAGTTCCCGCAAGTCGAAAATTATATTCCTGTTGATGCAGCTTAAATTGTCACTTACATCACCCTGCTGACTCATATGCTTTCTCAGTCAACGGTAAGTAGTCCTCGCCTTAGGACCACAATCGAGCCCAAAGTTTCGGTTGCTAAACAAAACAGTTGTTAAGCGAGTTTTGCTTCCTTTTACGACCTTCCTTGCCATAGCAAGGGTGAAATGCTCCCGGTTCAGACCGGATCGCTCGATCCGGTAGCGATGGCGGCGGATGGTTCGGAGAACTGGTAGCAAAAATGCCTGCGCCTCCCCCCCATGCCCAACTGAACCACACGATCATCAGAGGCTTTTTTTTTTTTTTTCTTTTTTAAAAGCTTTTTTTTTTGCAACCTCTTCAGCTGAAGAGGTAAAAAAAATGCTTTGAAAAGTCTCTTGACGATCCCAGCTGAGCTGCCTGATCGTCAGAGAGGCTTTTCAAAGCATTTTTTTTTTTTTGGCAACCTCTTCGGCCGAAGAAGTGGTAAAAAAAAATGCTTTGAAAAGTTAAAAAAAAAAAAAAAGTTGGCCACACCCACCCAGTCACATTACTGCCCCCCCCCACCAAGCCACGCCCACAGAACCAGTAGTAACAAATTTTACATTTCACCCCTGTGCCACAGGTCTTAAGTAAATCCCTGCAGTTGTTAAGTTAGCAACATGGTTGTGAAGTGAATCTGGCTTCCCCCATTGACTTTGCTTGTCAGAAGGTCACAAAAGGGGATCACGTGACCCCGGGACACTGCAACCGTCATAAATATGAGTCAGTTGCCAAGCGCTTGAATTTTGATCGAGGGACCACCAGGATGGTGCAAAGGTTGTAATTGAAAAACAGTCATAGGTCACTTTTTTCTGTTGTAACTTCGAACGGCCACTAAACAGACTGTCGTAAGTCGAGGACTACCTGCACGACTCTGCTTTCTTCCACCGTTCCCAAAAGTTAACAAGCACTTTTCTTTGCCTTTCTCAGGCTTAAGGTGAGGCCAATGGTGTGCACTGGTTTCAAGAATGATGAAATCGGGGTTGCAGAGTTACGGCAAGGTCTGATTCTCTTAGGCTTATAGAGGCAGTGCTGCAACACGGACACACACACACACATACACACACAAAAGGGGTGTGTGTTGCGATGCTATGACAATGCTTGCATCACTCTGGCTCTCTCCGTGTCCTCCCTGTGGACCCCACTCTAGTAGGCGACAGTTGGCTGTTGACATAATGGGCATTTTCCTGC